GTTCCAAGAAAGTATACTATTACAGCAACTCGATATTTTCTCGATGATCGTCATTGTCCTCGGCATTCCCCCTGATGTAGAAATCCACAGATACAGCTACTGTGTTTGGATCGTGAGGAAGTCCACGATGATTCACCCCGTCTTCGGTTACCCATTCTCATCGTCAATCTTTCAGTGAAGATGAGAAACTAGGAGATGATGAGAAACAGTTCCAAACAAACTGAACATTCTTATTCTCGTTTTGAAAATAAAATTCTGGTTTCAATCACATCCCAGCCGAGAATATATTTCATCAAAACAATTACAACCAAATGCTCAAAAGGCGTATAAAAATCGTTAGAGGCCTGGTAAATGCTGGTGAAAATTCTCCCCCACGCGAGGTCTGAGATTATTTTCTCAGCTGGTTCTAACCGAGAGAAGCCAATCTTGGCAATGAGACATGGAACAATTAAGACACGTCTAACTATGTTTTCACAGAAGCCTGGTGACACGTAGTTGTCACGTCAATGTCAATCCAAATGCATCAGACCTAACCTACAAATCCAAATAACCGCTGAATGCATCCCTAACCTCATTACAGAAAGATTGTAAAACCTATCAGACTTTAATGCGAAAAAAAAACCTGCAATGCGCGGAAGAATTTATTTCCCGAATAATAGAAAATGCGAGGAAGTCCTCAATTTTTTTCAATATCTGATTCATCCACTTGGTTTGAGAAGAAAATACGGACTAGCCCGAAGTAGTTTTACCCCTAGGCCGAAAAGAGCGGAACGCCCCAGCGTTTTATGCTCATAGAACGTAAAAATTCAAGTGACGTCTCAACTCGGTGAATGAATAGTTTAATTGCGAGACTAGGTATATTATTGGCAGTTTGAGTGGGCGGTAACGGATATTTCTTGCTCGTTGGTGGGTTCACAATATTGCCATGTGAACAAGAGAGATGAGAAGTGGTAGCGTTGAGACGCGCCCCGAGGCACCGCGGCATTTTGCAACAAATCTCCACTTGTCTAAATCAGTTTCAAGTGAGATAAGTGTTTTAGCCCCCGAGGCCCTTAAAAACTCCCACACACTCTGATATATAAGATTGAGTTGGTGATCTTGATGAGCTGGTGTTACGAGCAAATGGTGCCGTCGGACCGCTCATGCCACCTAACCTCAACGCCCTCCATTCCCTCATTCACGTCATTAAAATCTCATAATCAACGAATTTATCAATTCAAACTTTGATGAATTCCCTGGCTCGTTAGTCAAGACAAGTCAGATGGACTCTCCATCCCACGAAATGATGAAACCACACGTTGGAAAACGGTAGGCCTGATATTCAACATGGCTGCCACATCGCGTGTACACCAGTCCCAACGGATATTCCAGTGCAGAAAAAAAAAAAATCCCAACAAACACATCCAACTGTATCCCAACCCAAATGATAATTACGTACTCGTTGAAAGACTCGGAAAATAATCACCGATAGCCAATAAATTATTCGAGCCCCCCATTAGAACTCTCTCGCGATGTACCAAAAAATTATTGCAAAATTTTTATTGAAATTCAAACGTGACAAAAATAAATGATTCACGCAAAGTGAATGAGGGTCATTAAAAAATAAGAAGGAGATGAAAAAAATAGTGGGCAAACGAGTTGGAATATGGCAGTGCGTAACCATTTACGTTCACGTTGTGCCCCCCTTAGGTTTTTATCTCAGGGGTAGGGTTGGTCCCCCCCTTCGACAACAAGACCGGGGCCTACTTAACGCTTATTCCAACACCCCTCGAAAAGACTCATCCCGTATCATCCCCCTGTTCTTTAGTTAGTATATACCTCCCCCCCCCCCTCTTGGAACCCCTATTTTTCACCAATGAGAGACAACTCAGTGAGGGGGAATCCCATTGTCATTTACTCACTAACCAATCATAAGTGCGCGTGCGCGCACATGCCGATCAACAGAGATGCTGTACACAAATGAATAATACACATGGGGGTTGGTGATGCCGCTTCCGTGACGCTTTTTAACGCGAATCAATTTTAAGGACTAATGGGCCTATGTCCTCAGGCACATCTGGGGATCATGTGTTTTTTTTTCACTGGATCAATAGGCAAATTTATGGATTTCATTCTTCCCAGGGAGGTGACGAGCTATTGTTTGATATTGTCATTGATATTCGCGAGATTTGGGTAATTGGCGATATTGAAAAGTACTTTTTTTCAATTACGAGGCTCGAGGGTTTATCATCCATTTTTCAAATTATTGGACATGTGAATTTAGTGAAAGCGTTATGCCCTTTGATAACACTCGATCTTCGATTTTTCCTATTCAATTATATCTTCAATATTCGCGAATACAATCCAGCATCAACGCCGCTCAGTCTAAAATCTATTCACGTATAACTCCGAAAGGAATTCCAATGATTCTCAATTAATTTCCCAGGCTATGATCTGAGTATTGTTCGAAATAATAATAACAATCGATAACATCTATCGAGATTCAATTTTTTAAATGAAAACAATTTAACGCCACATCAGTATTAATAATGCCAACACGGAGAGAAATATTTAGTAAAAATTACGGAACTTTCAGTTCACTTACCGATTACGGAGTTGATTCGAAAAATTTAAGTGACGGTATCGTTATTTTTCACCGATAATTCAGATAAAAATTACGGAACACCGCGGAAAAATTCCGTGACTTTAGATAAAAATTACGTGACAGTTCCGTAAACTTTCCGACAACCACATTTCGCTCCAGAATTACGAAAAATACACGTAATTTTTATTTAATATTTCTCTCAGTGAACCTTCTCCAATTCCATGTATCCATTCTCTCAACTCTTTCTCATTATCATCATCCATTGTTTCCCAACCAAAATCAAAATCCGCATTAATCCCAATTATTCAAACAACTGTGATCTCAAATTTGTATTAAACTCCAATAACAGTTATTCACAATGTCATCCCCGTAACTCACCTCCATATGCAGAGGTAAAATTCCGATTCTTATCCATACCAAATATGTACACAGTACAAGTAAATATTTGGGTTTGCTTTCATATACCCGTGATTCTCAACGACAATGCGCGTGTACACTCTGGCAAAAGCGTTTATACATTCCACTTCTCCCTCTATCATCCAAAGGGTATGTGGGCACACCCATAAACCCCGTTCCTCGACTATAATACTGGCGAGGTCCCATGGAATACAATATGAACCCCGTATATGAGCCACACAGGCCAATATGCGACTTCAAACGTTGTCGACGAATTCAAGACAAAGGGGAGTACTCCATAAAAAAAGCCAGTTGAAGTGCAAAAAAAAAAAAACCCCTCCCCAACCTTTCAATTGTCTTCTAAAAAACGCCAATTTATTTCAACGCTTCCGAATGAACTTAGAAAAGCCAAAAATAAACACAAACAATCAAAAATAGAGGGGGATTTATTCTCAACTTTATTTCCCTACCTTTTCGCCCCATTTTTTTCTTCATTTTTCAATTTTATTTTCATTTATTGTTTTTATTTAAAGTGAGAGAGAACTCTGGCCTGTTTTATTCCGCTGCGTTGTGCGTCATAAATACACGTGTGATTGCATCCCCGTGATTATTTACTGGGTAGCTGGGGCGTTAGAAATTGGTAGACGAAGTGCTCCTCGCACCAAGAGAAAATGAAACTGAAATTTAATCACGCGTGATATATAACTCACGTGAAATCCAGCGTCATACACACATTATCTCACTCCCCTGTACCAAAAGCCCGCAATCTATCTCTCTTTCGTACACGTGGCGGAAGTTACGAGCCGGAATGATTACGATCCTCATACGCTCGTTAATTAATCCAGGGTGTATTTGCATGGCAGTTATAACTCGGCGATATGCCCCGACGAGGCTAGATTCACTGAGTTATAACAACATGCGACACACCACTGCAAACCTCCCACAAGAATCATCTCTTAGTCCCGAAGTAAAACGATAAGACTTGGAAGAAGAACAAATGAAATATAATAATAAGAAGAAATTCTAACAAATTGGAAGGAGAGATGTGACGTAAGAAAGGGGCGTTAGTGAATCGAGTGAGATAAATAACGAGTATTTCGAGGGAAGCTGTGGAATTCGATGTGGAAATTCCACTGGGATCTCACCGTAGAATCAGAAATGGTGTAGGAATATGAGGTAAGGGGAATGAGAAAGAAGACGCCAGGCGTCAGAGCCCGTCGGACGCTATATTACCGCCTCAAAAACCAACCCGCAGGCTCTTACCTATGTCCTATAAACGTTATGTTAATGTAGAATCCCAACGATTCCCTCCCCACATCTCGACATAAAGAGCCACGATATATGGTCTGGTAATTTCTTAATTGCGAGCCCACGAAAATTCTTGTCATCGTAAAGAGACGCGAGATTATATTGGAAGGAGCCACGAGGCGCCAGTACCCCAGTGGGGGTAATAATTCTTCCAAATATTCTCCCCATTCCCATCATTGAATTCCCATCTGATGATAAAACTCCATCCAGAGCTCCAGAACAGTCTCACCAATAATTCATACCAAAATACCGATAGACAAGGTTAATTGATGTCACAGCCATGAGATTAATCGGAATAATTTGCGTAAAGAAGAGTCATGAATTGAATTGGGAGCGGAGGCGTTGAGATTTCACGATGAAAAATTGAGCCAACATTGTGATGGGAATCACGAAGAGTATCGCCTTACAACCGCAAAGTGGATCATAACCTCTTGGAGTGATTTGAGATTGGCAATCTCGATTACACAAGGGTATCGAGTTTAGTATCCCTGGGGGTAAAAGAATAGCAAGACTTCTTGGAATAAGAGTGCAGGTATTGAGGGGTACACCAAGATGGGCGTGTCTCCAGGTTGTCCCTCGAGAACTTGAGGTAGACAAATTCATAAGTTAAAAATTCACCAAGTCAATATAACTCGACTATCGACAATGGTGCATCGAATCGAGCACATACCCCATCATAAATACATCAGAAAGAAAATATGGAGAAACTCACCGGTATGCGTTCTCTTGTGAATCTTGAGGTTCTCCGATCTCGCAAAGACCTTTCCACAACCAGGGAATGGGCATGGAAACGGCTTTTCCCCGGTGTGCACCCTGATGTGATTGACGAGCTTGTACTTGGCCTTGAATGCCCTGCCATTCCTTGAGCATCCCTGCCAGAAGCACGCGTGCGTAGTGCACTCTGGTCCACCCACGTGTTCAACAGTCAGATGTGTGACAATGTCATGGAGTGAATTGAATAGTTTTCCACATAATTTACGACCAGGACCAGGACTGTCCTGATCAACCCACATGCACGACATCTCCTGTCTTTGGGAGCTGCCGCCAGTTCTCATGTACCTGAGAAAAGCACCGTGTGGATGATGACTCGGATGACTGACCGCTGGATGCTGTTGATGATGAATTGACGCCGGTGTCAGATGGGGTGCACTCAGATACTGATGGTGCGGTGGTAATCTAGCATCCTGTCCATAGTGTCCAGGATAGTGTCCAGCCGCAGCTAGCGGGTGCTGTCCAGGATGATGCGGAAATTGCTGCATTCCAGCAGCCGTACCATCGTGATGAAGCGGTGTAAATAATCCTAATCCACTCTCTGGTGTTGTTGGATTGGCCGTTGCATTGAACTCGTGCTCACGACGAAGAAGAAAATCACGAGCTGCATAGGATGGATGATGGCCCATGTGATGACCCATGTGAGGGCTCATGTGGCTCGCTGGATGGGGATGATGAGGTGGTGGATAGCCCTGGGGATGAAAGTGATGGTGCTGTTGCGATGGCGCTTCACCTGGCACCGGTTGAACACCAACATTACCATCCATCGCCTCTGCACCACCAGTCGGCGACAACTTTATCCCGAGATTGGCCAGATGATGGGGATGTGAGGACACTGTGTCCAAAAATGTATTCATCATTTTGATCGATTTACTGACTCTATTCAATCCTCAGTTAATTCCATTTAATTACAACACCGTTTATTCTTGCACGCACTTGCTACACAACACTCGATGAGTTCTTCACAATTATCTCTATAATCAATGACTATGAATATCTCTTTTTAAATCACTGGATGTATTTGAGTTCGTCAATCGGGATTAATCACTTTTTTTTTTTTGAGGTACCCTGAAAGAAACACTGATAATTCGGTTTTAACTTTTCTTCTCAGGAGACTAACAGGGTGGAAATTGATGCCTCGGGGGTTGAGCTGATGCTACACTAGCAACAAACTCTGAACCGACGAACAGGTAGAAAATCCAGCGTGTTCCTTGCTGCGTTCACAGCGGGACTGAGGTGGCACTCTGAGTTCTCACTGCGGGGCAACTCCTCGGCGCTCGAGTTCATCGTATTCCTCATCCCCACCATTCCACCATCCCCTCTCCATCAGCTGCTTGTACCACGTGATCAGAGTGTCAGCCAGTGGTAAGACAGCGGAGTAGATACCAGAGGTTGATTGGTGCTCGATGGACCATTAGATGCTGGAGGATGTTGGGGAACACTTGGGATACGTCTCTCAGACCTTGGGGGCGGAACTCTACCCATCGCGCATGACTCCATCCTCCGCCCATCAACGCCCCACCGCGGGGCGGCAACACCAGACCTTTTTTTCCCTTTTTTTTCTAAAATAAAAAAACAATTCTTTCTGTTACTGTACAACAGTCTTCACTTTTGGCATTTGAAAAATTCATTTGGCTTGTGTGTTTTGATGGTTTTGATGGTTTTGATGGTTTTGATTTATGAAACTACTGTTGACTGACTACAACGGACGCCTACGTCGCCTGGAGGATTTCAAGTATATAATAGCCATTGATTTAATCTACGAGACGTTGATCTACTTGTTATAGCCGGATATTATCGATTTATGGCTTGTCGAATTATACGCATTACACGCCTGTAAATTATCTGGATGAGCAGATTGGCATTTTCACTTTTTTTTTTTTCGTTTTCCAGGGCAAGACTGATGATTGTGATCGCTTGGATTTCGGGGAGACTAATGGACGGAGTAATTTGGAAAAATAGATTTTGGCATTGTTTTGGGATTCATCAGGTAGATTTTTGAATTCGCACTTGGACACTGATGCCAATGAGACAGTGACCGACGAAGTGGCGGCAGGTATAAATATACCTCCCAACAATGTGTTTATAGCTCGGTTTAGGGAATAACAGGAATTAATGGTCTAATCCTGGCCACCAAGACACAGGTCATTGTCGGCCAATAAACCCATTGGCCCTTGAGGATTGCGGGAATTGGATATGAGTCACAGGAGCCGAGACATTTGCGACAAAAACCCTTTGCACGAAATTATTTATTGTTGGGAATTTGTATTGAGGTATTCACGAGAAATAAGGTGGCATAATTGTTGGTCGTAAACTAGGGTAATGGTGTCGAATTTATTGGGACATAACGCAGTGGTTCACCTCAATTTTTCAGTTTTCGGGGTGGAGATTGTGTGCTGAGATAGAGATTTAAAGGGCGGATGAGCTTCGATCCAACACCCTCTCGTCAGCAATAAATGGAGAAATATTTTTTGGTGGCTATTGTCGGAGAATTTATTTTTAAAACTACTTTATACCTGTTTTGAGACGTGTTCAAACAGTCGCTGGGAAGATCATGTCACGTATTCGTTACTCCAGTGCTTGAAAAACCTGGGATAATTATAGGTGAACTGAGCTAGCTCCTTTTGGAGAATTATCAGGATTATCCTGATCGGAGTTTTTGAGTTAAGTCGAGTACTGGCACACCTTCCAGCCGAGTAGAATGACCATTGGAGAGGAAGCGAACAGATCTCTTTGGTTTTTCTATATAATACACAGGTGCACTTCAGTGGCACTAAATTCCGGGAATTCCTGGTATCTGTAAATTAAATACTCGTCAGGTGTAATCTACGATTGTCATCGTCGCGGGACAACACAGGTTTCGGTTAATTTGGACAAGATAACGGAGGCTGTTGGAGATAGCAAATTGAGAGGTGGATAATCGTGTTTTCGCTGATTGCGAGGTGCTAAAGAACAGGAGAAATGAATTGGGTTGTATCTCTCCGACTAATGATGCTTGTTGGACATCGGAGTGACATCACGTCGAAGTCGGGAGGCAGCAGGTATGTCAGCGTTTCCGTGAATCGATTTAAAAAAATAGCTGTCTCCTAAAGCACGGGATTAATCCGGATTAATAGTTATTTTATTTGCTTGAAAATCGAAAATTTGAATTTTGAAACTCTCAAGTTAAAACTTGAAGGATTTAACGTGAGATTTTTCCGTGATCCAAGAATTTTCATAATATTCTCGATATTAGAAATAAATAAATAGATAAATAAATAATAAATTAATAATTCATGCAATCGGGGGATTCGATATCGAGGGAGATTATGTATAGGCGAATATTTTTGTGAACCTATAAAACAGTTGTTTATCGCTTGAGATTTTAATACAGCAGAGAAACAGTTAAACCAAGTGCATTATGACGAAAGATCCTGAGAGGCCAACGAGTAGAGTCATTTCGGGGCCACAGGAGGTGGTCATTGTCTTCCCTCCGGTCATCGCTCACCAGGTCGTCGTCATTACATTTAATTAATCATTAAAGCCGATAGACTGGAGCCCCCAACGCCGCATTAAAAATCTCCATCTCAGTGCCATCAGCCGGAGATATTGTTGATCATTAGGGGTTTGCATCTCTGAATATCAATGTGATCCATGTAAAACCCATCAGTTTTCATGAAATAATTTTCGTAATCAAATGCGGGGAAACGTCCAGTGGAATGGCATTCTGGTTTATGAAACAGCAGTCGACGTTTCACCTTTTGTCATTCATCAGGGACCGCATTAGCCGTAATTGCACGTCAGTGGTCTGACGGTGGGAAAAAATTAAACTTCTTCATGTAATTCAGAAGCATCGGCTACATGCCAGCAGTTGGCGATTATTCATTGGAAGTACTTTTAATTTGTAAATGACCAACATGTACCTATTCATTTATTCGCACGTCACGAGACTCGAAGATGCGTTTATCGCGTGAGCGATGGCCACTCTTGCCAATTCTCTACGGCTTGGAAAATGGCTGACCTGTCTCTTTGATTTTTCAGTGAATTTTCTTTCTCTCTATTTAATTCCTCAAATCGTCATCGGACGGTCAACTCACCTGCCGCGCCGTTCTCATGTACTTATCCGGAGAATTATTGCTGGAGAATAAAAAATGGAGTTCTTTTTGGGGAACGGTGATTTTGGCTTTGATGGTACCAAGGGCCACTGATTCATTGTATTAATAAATAATGAGGATGTGAGTGAGAAATGAGTGTTTGGGGGGAAAGGAGTAGCCGACGTGGAGGTTTTCGGTGGACACGCAAAAGGTGGATTGGTTAGATTCGACGGTGAGATGCAGGGGACAACATGGAGATCTTGTCTCGGAGTCATTAGGCAGACGACAATCGGTGCCGAGGGGCTGCGGGAGGTGGACTTGGAGAATCGTCTCCTCAGCGGTCTCTTTGGGATATTCTCCAGGTGGGAGACGTGACCGAGATCACCAGATTCTCCATCACTTCCAGTATCTGATTTTCGATTATTGGTAATTATCAGCGCTTGATGAGTTGATTTGAGACTGATGACTTCTTCACTATTCTGTCGTTCCAATTTCAATTAAATCTTCAACCTTGTCCCCTACATTATTTTGTGTGCAAAAAAAAAATCAATCGTCCCAGAATCATTTGGAAGACTGGAATTTCTTTTTCATGGAGGAAAAATTGTCTTGCACGAGTGATTAAAATTTAATGCTCTAACAGAGTCATAAATCTTGAAGACTGGTCGGTGGTCGTCAGAGATAAAACACACGGGTCTTAGACGTCAGACTTTTCTCCACATTGGCAAAAGAAATTACCAATGGATAAAACAAAAACCTCTGGGATTTACAACAGCACAACAACTATCGTGCAATTCTTTAGAGTGAATTTATCATCAACGTGGTAAGAACAAATTTGAGAATCGCGTGATCCCGATCGATGATCTCCACCAACCACCCTTTCGCCTCTCCTTAGCTCTGACCCACAATATAAATGAAAATAAAGGACTGAGGTGGATGAAAAAATGGTCGTGTTTATATAAATCATCAATTCTTTATCCTTGTTTACCCCGTGTGCCTTACGCGGATATATTTCATTGTCGCCCGTCTTCTCGGCCTATTCAAATTGGAATGACCGCAGGGCTACGTGTAATTTTTATTATCATATTCTCCGGATTTTTCATTTTCATCCTGCGGTCATGTTGCTTTGGCCGCTGTGGCGAGGTTTTTCATTCTTTTTCATTCTTTTTCTTTCCTTTTCTTTCTTTTTTCGTTCTAATCTTTTTGTCGGGCCGCACGTTTAAAGATACCTATCGCATCCCTGTATCTCAACTCTGATCAATGTACAAATTTTTATCTCGGAGTTTTGGAGCGTTTATCATTTTTCTTTTCGAAAACTTTTTGAAATATTTCAGTGAAAAATATCAGCTATTGTTATTATTACCATTTTCCACTTACGGTCACCGAGACAATAAAATTCTGCCGTGAACAATATCACTCCTGATTTCACCAAATAGATGAAATTATTATTATCATTTAATAAATTCAATTAAGTGAAATAAAATGTTGATCTTACTCTAGATCCAAGTGAATAGATATGACAATTCCGTCGAAATAATTTCCAATATTCAGACCATCAGTTTAAAAGATAATCTAAAAAATAAACGAATGACAAGAAAAAGTGTTCTTTCCCAGAATTTTTCACCTCGTCATACACCAGATAGAATAATGCTCAAATTACGATCAAAATGAGTCCCATAAAACAGTAAATAGAATTAATAAATCGAGGGTGAAAGCGTCACGAACAAAACATCGCCATACAAACCATGAGCATTGCATCCCCCTAAAAAATGATCGGTGACCCCATGCGGTGTAGCAGATGCAACTTTCCTATGGTACCAAAACACCCTAGTGCTCCCTATCCCCTTAATATCTCGTGTCCACTCTACGATAGTGTAGGGGTTGCCCAATTTTTTCCCATTCCTTAATCTTCACCTTGCTTGAAATATTGGATCATTCTACGTCATACCGATCCACTGATAAATCCCGCATGGCAGCGATGTATTTCTCCATTTTAGCCCACGATCGCTATCAATCAATTCCCCAGAAGCCCCACGAAACCGAGAAATTCAAAAAAAAAAAAACCTAACAAAGAAAAAAAAATTCATTACTTTAATCATCAGACGTTAATTACCATAAAACCCCCATTAACCCCTTCGAACCCTCA